ATTCCCGTATGTACCCTTTAGCCAGCTGCTCCTTTAGGAACTTGTCCAGCTCCTCTTGCTCGTTGTTCGACAAGGGATATACCTTCGAATGGAACGTCGAGTAGCCGGGCACGAGTTCGATCGCGTGATCATACGGCTTTCTTTCCGGTAGCCGCTCTGATGCTTCCTTGGAGAAGACTTCCAGGAACTCGTGGTACTGTTCTGGCACTGACTCCTCAGCAGTCTTAATGACCTTCTTCTTGATCTCCTCCTCAGCAAACAGCTGTGTCACAAGTTGATACGACGTCTAGCCGTTTTTTAATTTTTCCCTTCTCGCGGGCTCGAACCCGCGACCTCTGTACTACATGCCCGATATGGACGCGTCGTTATCTACTGTACGATTAGATTAGATGGGGCGGCAGTGCACGGCACAGCTCGGGCTCCGCTGACACAGCTGCTCTGACTCACTGGCCCCCGGGGCTGCGTCAGCATGCTGTGCATGGACCAGCTGCGCACGGACCAGTGCGCACAGCCTGCCCTCATCTTCCCCTGTATATAAGCCGGCCTCTGCTGCCCTAGGGACCTCAGTTTCGACCTCTTGTCCCTAGGTCAGTAAGCATCCCTTGTATTCCTTTTCTTACTTCACTAATATATTATCTTGTCCCTAGCCTTAGGTTTGAGCATTGCTCACCATCGCTTCGGTGAGATCTAGTCAGACACCCCCAGCTTTTAGGTTTTCTCCTGTCGCTTGACCTCAAGTTGTGACATTAGGTCGAAACTCCCCATAGCTGCCGGCGTTCCTCGGAACACCAACACTCACTCTACACTTCCTACAGGTTGGGTGGTGCGCACCCTTACTATACCCTACGATATATAGATAGCATATGATATATCGCCACCACTTAGGGAACGAACTCTTCAGTACCTGCACTTCAGTGGGCGGTACTTGTCCTCACGGACGCATGGCTTAGGTTCCTGCTGCATACTAGCCAAAAGCAGTACTGGGCCCCACGTGAACTGCGAACCCTAGTGTCAGCTCGGGCGCCGTAGGTGTAAGCTAGTATAGCACGGCCTTTCGTAGTACGCGCACCTCCCCGTCCTCCCCCCATCCATCGTGGCTGCCTGTCAAGGCCAAGTTCACGCATTCGACTCTCAGGACCTCGTCGACACCTACATCCCAGACGGCCCTGAGACTGTCATCTACACCTGCGAACAGCAGCCGTGCCCTAATCGGACACCCTGATCGATCGAGCAGGATTACCCACGCTACAAAGCGATCCGACGAGCGCAACATCCGCTCGGTCCTCGAAGTACCCTTGCATCTCGATCTGCCTCGCGGCACTCTCGCCCTGTCTCCCCCAGCTCCCGCCTTCCCCAAACTGTCGCCGATCCAAGTCAAGCACGAGGAGATCTCCCTCCAGACCCTGCGCCAGAGCCTGAGCCTGAGGAGAGTGCGAGTGAAGAAGGAGTCTCGGAGTCCGAGTCCGTGAATTCTGCTCGGCCCGCCTCGCCGACAGCGCTCGCCTCCACGTCAGCAGTCCCTGACGTACGTAACCCCGCCTCCGAACTTCCTCCGGCGCCTTCACCGCCGTCTCCGCCGCGAGGCCGCTCGCGCACTCGCTCCCCTCGAAGTCCGACCAGCGGAGGAACACAACAGCCGCCTCCGCCCCCGCAGCGTCCTCCGTCCCCCCCAACGCCGATAATGTCGTCTCCATCGACCGCCCCCGATAAGGAGACCCTGAAGCTCCTCCTCCCACTCCGATACGATGGCAAGACCGTCATCGAATGCGACAGGTTCCTGTCGCAACTCCGCATCTACTGGTTGATCAACACGTTGTTGACAACCATCGAACTCAAGGTGCAGGTTGCGCTGAGCCTGCTCGACGGAGATGCCCACGCCTGGGCCACTCCATACTTCACCCAACTCGCATCGGTGCAGATGGGTGTACAAGGGGTCACAACCCCCTTCAGGAACGAAGCGGCCTTCACCGCTGCCTTCAAGGCCCGCTTCGGCAATCTCGACGATGAAGCAGTGGCACAAGTAGAGTTGGCGAAGCTCTGCGCGGACAAGTCGGTCCGTGAAAAACGCACCACGGCGGAGTTCTCTGCACTGTTCAAGGGTCCGGCGGACCGCTCCGGGTATGGGGACCTGGAGCTACGCGACAAGTACCTGAGCGGTATCCCCTCCCGCGTGTATCGCAAGATCGAGCTCGAGACCTTCACCACGTGGCTAGAAGCTGAGAAGCGCGCCACCGAGGTCGAGCAGATCCTCGACATCAGCCGGGCCCGTCGGCCCGAGCTGAATAACTTCTTCTCGGCTCGAGGACGAGGACGCGGAGGGGCACGCGGTGGTGCACCCCAGTCACACGCAGCTTCGGCCAGCATCAATGCGGCCGTCGGAAAAGGAGACTTCCCCGGCACTTGCTTTGGCTGTGGAAAGCAAGGGTACCGACGCTTCGAGTGCCCCAACTGTAAGGACAAGCCTTACACAAAACGCGCTGACGCGCGGGCTATGGTTGCCTCGGGCTCCACCCAGGCAGTGACAAGCGGCCCCGTCACGACATCACCCTCGGCAAGTATAAGTACCGCTTCAGCACCTTCGGAGCTGGCGGACTTAATGGCACAGGTGAAGTCGATGCGCGAGGAACTGGAGCACTATCGAGCGCTCAAAGAAGAGTCTTTTTGATCCGGTCCGCGCTTCGTGCCGCACGCGTCGGGCCGCATAGTAATAATCTGTACAATGTATTGGCGACCGCAAATGTGTACGAGTTGGACCATGGGTCCCAGCATTTCCACATCCCGGTACGCCTCAAAGGAGAAAGACGGCACAAAGACATAGTCGCAATGGTGGACAGCGGAGCCACCACGAAGTTCATCAACAAGTGTTTCATCACGGCGAATCGAGTACGAATGCGGAAGTTAAAAGAACCCATTCCACTTTACAACATCGATGGAACGCTCAATAAAGACGGAAGCATCTCGGAAGTAGCTGTGCTACAGATGCAGATAGGAGAACACATCGAGAAGACAGTGTTTACGGTCACGGACATCGGTCCAGAAGATGTGATCGTCGGGTTGGATTGGCTACGTGAGCACAACCCTGAAATCAATTGGGAGGAAGGCTCCCTAAAGTTATCCCGATGCCCTGAAACGTGCAGTGCCAGGAGGACTGGCCGGATGGAGCAAGCAGCGACTGCGCATGATATGGGGGTCAGGCCCACGGCGCGCAGGCGTTCGCCGAAGTCCAAACAGTCGGTCATAGGTGCCTGCCGAAGTAAGGTACTACCGGACTTCGAACCCGAAGAAGATCTGGTAGAAGTCTAATGGGACGAAGCCGACTTGATCGAGGCCTGGGAGCAAGGTATCACGCTTCCCGGCGCCCCCCAGCTGTTCGTTGCAGCCGGGCATACATACTCCCAGCTGTTCGCTGAGGAGGAGATCAAGAAAAAGGTCGTTAAAACCGCCGAGGAGTCGGTACCCAAGCAGTACCACGAGTTCCTGGAAGTCTTCTCCAAGGAAGCATCAGAGCGGCTACCGGAAAGAAAGCCGTATGATCACGCGATCGAACTCGTGCCCGGCTACTCGACGTTCCATTCGAAGGTATATCCCTTGTCGAACAACGAGCAAGAGGAGCTGGACAAGTTCCTAAAGGAGCAGCTGGCTAAAGGGTACATACGGGAATCGAAGTCGCCCATCTTGTCCCCCTTCTTCTTCATCAAAAAGAAGGAGGGGACGCTTCGACCCGTACAGGACTATCGCCGGTTAAATGCCATCACGGTCAAAAATCGCTACCCTCTGCCGCTGATCACCGAGATGGTAGATAAGCTCCGCAGTGCCACGCTCTTTATGAAGTTCGATGTCCGATGGGGATATAACAACGTCCGGATCAAAGCCGGTGACGAGTGGAAGGCGGCCTTTGTGACCAACCAAGGGTTGTACGAGCCCCTGGTGATGTTCTTCGGTCTCACCAATTCCCCCGCAACCTTCCAAGCGATGATGAATGACATCTTCCATGATCTCATCGTCGGCGGGAAGGTCCTTGTGTACCTGGATGACATACTCATCTTCTCCACCAATCGAGAGGAGCATGATAAGGTCACGCGCGAGGTCCTTCGACGCCTTCAGGATAACGATCTATTCCTGAAGCCTGAGAAGTGCGAGTGGAACGTTCCCAAGGTCGACTATGTCGGCTATGTGTTCGGTGGCGATGAGGTAGCGATGGATCCTGCAAAGTTGAAAGGAATTAATGAGTGGCCGGTACCCCGGAACAAAAAAGACGTTCAGAAGTTCCGGGGGTTCTCCAACTTTTACCGCCGCTTCATTAAAGACTTTGCCAAGATCTCGCGACCACTCGACCGACTCACAGGGAACGATCCATGGCATTGGGGTGAGGAAGAGCAGCACGCCTTCGATGAGCTCAAACGGCTCTTTGCCACAACTCCGGTCTTGGCGTTGTATGACCCAAATCGAGAAACGCGGATTGAAGTTGACGCCTCGGGCTACGCCACCGGCGGTGTATTGATGCAGAAGCAGGACGACGGCAAATGGCATCCCATCGCCTTCCGGTCTCACGCTATGGACCCTGCCCAGCGCA